ACATATTTACCCGTACTGAGGTCTTTTCGTTGATATGCCTCAACTGTGTGTGCTTGTCCTGATCATCACCAGTCGCGAACGCCGAAATTCTTTGTTTTATGATGTCTGATTTATCCGCTTCAGGACTGAGAAATAAGTGACGGACTTCTCAAGGACCACCATATCAGGGGTAAATAAGGTAATCATCACAACCGCATCGAACATGCTTGGCGTGCACCAGAGGACATCTGCCGGCCACTGACATAAGTCAACCTTTCTACATCTGAACGTTTAACAGAAACAAGATTATTAGATAAAATGAAATCAGTCCGATATTGCCACAGGTTCCATGTGCTGCGATATGAAAGAGGTATGTACTTTGGTACATTCTATGATATGGACAAACGTACACCGTAAGCTTGAAAATTATTTATAACTGCAGACTATACTCGACAGCACGAAAACTAAAATAAAAACTAGAATAGACGGCAAGATGAGCAAACAGAAGTCTGCGATGTAGTAGGACGGCAAAGTTGAAATGGCAACGGGCACGACCCGTTGTTAGAAAAACGGACCATCACTGAATCAGAGAGATATTAGAGAGGGTTCCAAGGGTAGGTAAACGGCCTGCAGGAGGATTTCCGGATCGGTGCAGAAAGAACTGAAGAAATTCGTGTCGCTGGATCGAGAAGGATATGAATCGTAAAACAGAAAAGTTTATGAATGACAGAGCTTTAGAAATGATTTCATTCAGCAGATCGAAAAAGGCTGATGATGAAGCACTGTCAATTCACTTCGTTACTACTATAACGGATATACAAAGTATGAAATTGTTATTATGATCCACGCTAGTAGTGTTACCTTGGAGATACGGTAGATGCTCTCGACGTACGACAGAACGAAATACGCGATGCCAAGGCCGACCAGGCGGTGAAGCGTCGAACCAAGCCGAGGCTTCACCACGCCGAAACCAATGCTAACAATGATGACCAAAATGCGAGACACTGTCTTCTTCAGAGAACTGATGAGCTCGGCCGCCTGCAAATGCCTTAGTTATGCGCGCGTATTGAAACACCAACAAAAATTGGCCACGTCATCGACTCACTTGGATGACACCGTCATAAGAATAACCTTTTGTGTTCATTATCTGGTACTCGGCATAGAACATGGTTTTCTCCAACATCCCGAGAAAAATTACCGCGCCTGAAGATCAAGCATTATAGCTTTAACATAGAAAAACACACGGTGGAAACGGCAAACGTTCAAAATGTAAAAAGAAATACTTTTAAATGCCTTCAACAAAAAAGTAGCCTGGAAAAATTCTGAACTTAAACCTTTTCAGCAGTATGCTTTTCAAAAAAAAGCTTCAAGGGGATCAAAACATTAAAACACTTTTATATTAAAGATAAGTTCACTAAGTTAAAGTATTTCACTTAACTATTCAAATAGTGTAGTTCAGATTCGTTGAGTGCGCAACCACTTAAATCCGCAAAAAAAATAGAGCGACCTTGCACTTGAAGGTGGCAAGCCAACTGTGAGTCGATGCTAATATAGATCTACTCCCACAACGGGGAGCTCAGTTTTGGTTCCGGAGTCGTGAGTGTTCTTTATCGATTTTGAGACGCTGCGATTTCAAGAGGTGTACATTTATTATAAATCTAGTTATATAACGGCAGAAAATATGCTGGATTGATTCCAAGATCTTTCTTTTCCACAAGTTGGTTTTCTTGAGGGCGATGCTGCTTGCATCTTATTGTATGGTACGGATTCACTGATCGGGCTCTTCAACCTTCTACCGGTTTCTTCGGTGTAGCTCCCTCCGCATGGGCAGTATATTCGGTATATTACCTCAGCACCCTCTCGTTTCGCTATGATGCTTCTCCTGTGTAGGAGGTTGCCCAACTTGTTTGGGGATCTGCAAACCATGGCAACTCAGCACCTTAAGAAATTTTTGTTAAAATATAAAACGTTTTTAATGCAGTGTTTATGGAAGCAATGGTAGTAAATAGAGCATGGCCATGGAACCTTTACTACCTCAAACATATGCCCCTTACAATGTCGATTATCTCTGGGGTAAAATAAACTAGCACGCCGATCAATAAGACCATACCCTAGTTGCCATGCCTTCCATATATCGTACTAACCGATGGCAGTTCATTAGACTGTGAGATGCGATTAGCTCAGATGTAAGAGATTCTTTAATCACTACTTTGGTCTTATCTGTCACACGGTCAACAACAGAAATTTTGCCATCAGCTGGTTGATTATTATTCTGCAAGGCCAATATGTTTAATGGCGACTGATCTATTGTGTTCGCCTGTCCAAACCGGAAGGTGTTGAATATCTTCCAAATATAAATGCAATCAGATTTATTACAATTTATATTATAAACAACAGTTTAGTATACGACAGTTAAAAACTCAGCTATTTCAATCTGCTAGCAAACCCGTAACACCGGGATTATTCGTTATTTTTATTACACATTTCGACGGATCGAGCTTGAAACAGTTTTTTTTGCATCGACCAAACGAAGTGGTGCTGTCTCCTGCCTACGCAGTATAGGTGCTAAAATGCCATGGGCATTTCCTGCCTAAACGGTCCCCTAGACTACCAGACGCAAGGGAACATTGTGCAACGCCATGTAAATAAGGAGAAACAGCAGAAGAATCTTTAGACATAACGCAAATCTTTTAAAGAGTAAAGAACCTCGTATGACAACTGCTGAGAAACAGACGTTCGAGAATAAACGCTGCTTCAGCAATAAATTTCCAGATTTCTCTGGAAAATCCGAAGATCAAACGAGCAGTAAAATTATTAAAACTAAGTTAGTAACTAAATCACTGGTGGAAGGGGGGACAGGAGCACATTTAGTTAGTTGGTTGCTCTGCACACTAGAGTGTGGGTTCAAAAGCAAAGCGCAGGGTAAATTTGCTCTCATTAACTGATAATTCTTTTAAACAAGGAATTCACTGTACTGTGCTTCGGTGCAACTAGCCAAAAAGGGAATTAGGTCGTACAACTGCGAATAACAGGGACAGCATGATGCTTCGGTGCGGCTATAATAAACACATACGACTTTACTATCTGATGCGTGTAGCTTACGGCTGAAGTTCGTTTTAATCCACCTGATTATTAATCAGTAATCAGCGTAAAGTGCAATCGCAAATGACAAAAAAATTATAATTAAAAATTAAATTATGACTGATTTAAAACTAGTCATCAACGCTCACCGATCCAGTACTGGATGCGCAACAGATCCCGCCACTGAAGAAAGCAGAAGATTAGCCACAGGATGCCGAAAAATCCGTACACACCGCACATAACACCATAAAACGGAAGCAAGGGCCAGTCAATGGCGCCAAGGTAGCCGTAGGTCGCCTTCCATTGCACCTCGATAGTAAAATTGTGAGGCTGACTGAAGTGCGGCGTCACCTTGACGATTACTAGGTATATGGCGTCGACTGGCAGTTTGATTATCGGCTGCCAGGAGCCGACGGAGGACGAGGTGGAGTTTGACCATACCTTGGCTACTGTGTGTTTGGGCGGCGCCTCAATTTCGGTATCGTCGTCGTCGTCCATCGCTTCATCCGCCCGTCGTAGATTCTCGACGTCAGGGTCTTTCGTTACCTGCACCTTTTCCATATAGTCGATCTTCGAGTGCACGGGAGACAGCTCCTTATTACACTTGATATCGAAAGCCTTGTCGGTCTTGCCAATGTAGACGAAGCTGTAGTCGAAGCCATCAGGCAGCGTGTGTCTTTTGTTCGCGTACCATTTCAGGGTGACGTGTTGTTGCTCGCTGCCTAGCACCGACACATATTCCTTAGCGCAAGGGGTACTTCGAACGGTGACCTCTGCCGAGAAGCCACCAGCTGCGGTGCCACTACTTTCATCGTCCGGACTGCACGACGTACGGATTTGAACTTCGGTGTCTTTAAATGCGCTACGTTGAAAGCCGTAGAACTGCGTCTCGCTGCCCATGGTCACCACCTCATGTTCGATGCCTAACTCCAACAGGGCCTGAGCCGAACAAAACCAAAGTACAATCACGCACGTTACCACCGACATGACTGAATTCTACTTCAGAGTTAGAACCAAAACATGCAGTGTTCTTTCAGCTGTGATCTGATGAGTCATTCAGGCACTGGCGTTCTAAAAAATGCAAAATATAGAAATGCAAAAAACAAGAAACATCACAGCTACAATAAGTTATATTGACTCAAAAACAGATACCAGTACAGGCAAAAGTATCACAAAACGGAAATTTTGTACACAGAGTAATACAAGTGATACGTGGACTAAAGGTTCAATACCATGTTTTGGTTAGTCTCAACAATGCCAAAGTATTGTTTCAGCTCGTACCTCGCCGACCATTTTCAAGGTAAGAGAGACAGTAATTTTTGGCTATTACTGAGGTTTTCCACATCGGTGCTGAACAATCACTAAAAAACCGTCTATCACGTCGTAGTGCTTCAGAATCGCTTCCAAAATATAAATAACGCCTCTTCAGACATTTAAATATGTAGAAATAAGCAAACTGCAATTTAAACGGTTCTACACACAAGCAAACAAAGCGACGGCAATCATTATTATAACTGACACGGTTATGCCAAACTCAGGGCAAACGGATTGTTGAAAAGTCGACCGTTACAGAGAAGACTAGCATCAGTCTATCTCTTTGTGACCAGAACAGCTGAAGTGAAAATTTATTCCGGAAGGCATACAGTTGGAATCGGGATCAAATATCATATGCAGAAATAAGTTTTATATGCTCAAAATTCTTCATTCAATCTTTACTTTGAAGTTTTAATCAATGTAGCCGACAAAACCTTAAGAAAGAAGTTAAATGGTGTGAAGAATGAGGGCCAATGTTAAAGGATTTTAATGTTCTGAGTTACGGCTTATCTTTGAAAGCTTAGATCTAGCTCACAATGCATAAAGAGTTGCACACGAAGTGTTGTAAGGTGACGTGTTTTCCTTACTAAACTCAGCTCCATGGTGTTCACCTGGAAACATCTTCAAAGGAACCTTTCACAAGACTTGCAGGCAACCACCGACCAACGACTTGTAGCAACTCAGTTCAATCAGCTGAGGAGAGGGAAGGGAGATCACAGAGCAGATAAGAGGTTTGCACTGAAACTGGAAGGTGTCGGACATAAATCCCATTCGCTGCTTCAAGATTTCCCACATCAATTATTAATTCCATTCATCAAGAAATTTACCACAATGAGCTTCGCTACAATCGCGAAACAGGTAAAAGTCGTTCACTAGCGAATAATAGAGAAGCACTGTAGTCTGACAGGGTTGGGTCATTTCGTCTGATGCGTACGCCTAACGGTTGACAATCGAATCTGACACTTGACTACTTTGTGTGGTAATCAGCACCAGGTGCCCCATTCTTAATTCAATCCTCAATATTAGTGATGAATATTGTCAGATCACTACACTTTCGTCTTTTCGAGGTAGATGAATGCCAGGGAGTGGAGAAGAAAACAGGAAGCAGGCATAGCCTCAAAATTGTGCACTCCTGACCGATGACAAAGAAAAAAGACACCACAAGCTGCAAGAAAGAAGTGCCTCAAATAGTGCCCATCATAGAATCATAAGAGAAGAGTATGTACTAGTGGTTATAAGCTCTTCCTTTCCTTCATCTACGGCTATACTGATGAAATTACGCAGCACTTAACTGCGAAGCTGAACCGCTTTCAAACAACTGTGGTCATTGATGAAAAAGAAGGAAAAAAACGAGAAAAAAAGAACAAAAATTATACAGGAGGTGTGCGAAAAATACTGAGACCAGAAAGAGAAAACAAAATAAGAAAACCAAGGATAAGAAAGAGAACAAGCACAGGAAGAATAAGAAAACGAAAGGACATAGAAAAAGAAAACCGAGAGAAGCCAAGTCGAGTTAGGAAAATAACCGGAAGAGGAGGAAGAATAATAGGAGAAAAGAAAGTGATAAAATACGATAAGGAAAAAAGGAATAAACAAACTAATCACTCAGACTCTATGACGGTTTCAGGTGTTGGAAAAGAAAAGTATCGACAAGCTAAGTTACACATTTCTATATCTTGCTTTGACGCTTCAGTGCCTTAAGCATCTGGTATCAAGAAGAGTCGCTTGATGAATTATGGGGCCAGAATTAAGATTTCTAGAAAGTAATAGAAAAGGATAGGTGAGTCAACGTTCATTCATTCAAGATAATGATCGGTCGAACGACAAAAGTGAATATTTAAGCAACCTTCGTCATAACGGATTTTTCTGTACCCCTCAGACAATTCGAATCACGAATGCCGGCAGTGCAAAGATGATACTCTACGCATGAATGTTGCAATTTACAATACTCATAGCCATCTTAGAAGCAGAAATAACGTCTAAAGTACCATATCGGAGGAGACCGTTGAAGAGGAAGAAAATAAAGAACAGTTTCCTGAACAGATTATGAACACCAAACTCTCCATCTCCGTCTTTGCAGCTTCCAAGCCCGGATATGAAAGGAGGAAGAGTGGAAATCGTGGAGACGACTTTTTCAAATGTTATTCATCTGTCCTTCACTGTACTGCAATCATCGAACATTATACTGGCTGTTCATCACCCGGATAATTAAAGATCACACATGATACCTCAACACGGGCAACTATCGGGCAAGGCTACGGAAAGACTGGGATCAGAACTTGATTTCCGCATTCTGGAAGCCGGGGCCTAGCAGCACGACAACGGCTGCAGAAGATCGACCAAACGAAGACGAAGGGTAGTCAGTCAGAAAGCAGCCGCAACCCCTACTGGACAGAGGAGAAAGACAGCGTGATACCACCATAGCACGTCAGAAAAGACTCCACGAGAAAGAGACCGCCAGTGGGAGCCTACAATCGGAAACAGGAATATAACCTCAGTCAGAGGGAAAACGTAGGAGGTAGATGATGAGGACGCAAGCCCTCCGATTGAAAGAGTTGGACTCTCATCAACGAAGCGAAAAGGCTCTGGAACTTTGAATCTCTGCGGATGGAAGCTGTTCCACTCAGGTTTCGATACCATGAAAAGCGCTCCGGCCAGTGTTGGTGTTCTGGTAGAAGGCAGCATGGCCCATAGAATTATTAAATGCAGCCTGTCAGCGGTAGAGTGGCAAAGTTCAAACTGAGGCTACAACAAGCATGTTATCAAACTAGGTGCTCAACCTGGGGAGAAAATATGAGTCTTCCCTGAGGAAATGGAATGTGCTCTGCACGAAGTATCAACTACCGAATCAATCATTTTAACGGGCGACTTAAATACGCATACCCATGCACATACTGAAAAGTGGAAACGCGCGACTGAAAAGAACGGATCTAGTCACCTAAACAATATCGCCATGAAGTATAGCGCTAATAAGCGTCTGTCCATTATGAACACCTTCTTCGAATATCGAAGCGTGTATAAGAACACTTGGAATAGGGAGGTTGATAGATTTAATAGCCATATCTTGTGACTGAACGACGCTCGGTAGTGGACGTTACCGCTAAGATACGTACAGAGCTGTTCAAAACGAATCAATTTTGAAACTTTTGCCTCCATACGTTACAAAACTGCGGACCGCTGAACGAACTTCAGAAATCAACTTTGCCCACTTTCAAAATGGCTCATAAGCCACGAATGATCAAACTGTTTGCCCTGTTTAAGAATAATCCGTTTTTATAATTTTCAGTATGGTCCCTAACGCACGAAGAAAGTATTCAGTCTTACGATAAAACACACGGCAAGACAAATGAAACACCCGATTAAGTACTTGAGCGTTAATGCTGTAGAGGTAGTAACCAAACTGATTTTCTCTATAAAAAGCATATTCATTCCAACATATGACCTTCAAGGCCTTCCAGCGATCGACGATGAATGTATTTATTTTCGCACGAAAAAGAGCCTGATTGAAAATTTAAAATAGAACCTGTTTAAACAAAAATAATCACCAATTTAAGTGATTCGAGCCCCTCTATCAGAACACCCAAAGCACCATTCCAAACCTCGCCTTACCGCTGCATACATGATTCAAGGTGAGAATCCGATTCACAGTATTTGAAACGAAGGTATTTCATTTCATAATTTAAATATCTTTAAAATACACAAAAATGATTATCATCTAAAGGTATCGAAACAATCACAATACGAACAAACTTCACTTCTTGAATGACGTTAAATCAGATTCGAGAGTTTGGCACGCCA